CGTCAGCAACTCCACACAGGGGCTTAGGGACAGAATACTGATCTCCCTGGGCCTGAGCCCCTAGGGGGAGGAGTAAATATAGTCTCCATGGACCAGTAGGCTTAGTTTTTCCCCTGCTAGCTCTGAGGAATCCAGGCAGCCCAGACGAGTGGTTCCCTCCCAGCTCAGCACACCCCCTCCACCAAGGGACAGCCAAAATGCTTGATTAAATGGATCCTGGTTACCATGATCCCCAACTCAGTGAGACCTGCCAACAGGAGTTGTCAAACACCCTATACAGTAGTGTTTCTACTGGCATCAGGTCAGTGCCCTCTGAGGTCAGAGATCCCAGACGAAGGAGCAGGCACCCATCTTTGCTGTTCTCCAGCCTCCTCAGGTCACATCTCCAGGTGTGGGAGTGACCCCAATGAATAGGGCCTCAAGTGAACCCCCAGCAAATTGCAGTAGCCCTACAGAAGAAGAACGTGACTATTGAAAAAACAAACCAAACAAAAACAGAAAGCAACAACAGCATCAACTAAAAGTCCCCACAAAAACCTCATCTAAGGGTCAGCAGTCTCAAAGTTCAGAATTAGACAGACTCAGGAAGATGAGAAAGAATAAAAAAAATTGCTGAAAACTGAAAAGGCCAGAGTACATCTTCTCCTTCAAATGATTGAGACACCTCTTTAGCAAGGGCACACAACTGGATGGAGGATGAGATGGACGAATTGACAGAAGTAGCCTTCAGAAGGTAATAACAACTTCACTGAGGTAAAAGGAACACGTTCTAACACAAAGCAAAGAAGCTAAGAACCATGATAAAAGGTTACAGCAGCTGTTAACTAGAATAACCAGTTTAGAGAGGAACATAAATGACCTGATGGAGCCGAAAAACACAGCACGAGAACTTTGTGAGGCATACACAAGTATTAATAGTTGAATCAATCAAGCAGAAGTAGGAATATGAGAATTGGAAGACTATCTCACTGAAATAAGGCATGCAGGCAAGATTAGAAAAGAAAAGAATGAAAAGGAATATACGAAACCTCTGAGAACTATGGGACTATGTAAAGAGACTGAACCTGTGACTGTTTGGAGTAACTGAAAGAGATGGGGAGAATGAAACAAGTTGGAAAATATACTTCAGGATATAATACAGGAGAACTTCCACAACCTGGCAAGACAGGCCAACATTCAAATTCAGGAAATACAGAGAACCCCACTAAGATACTCCATGAGAAAATCATCCTGAAGAAATGAGATTCTTCAAGGTTGAAATTAAGGAAAAAAATGTTAAGAGCAGCTAGAGAAAAAGGCTAGGTCACCTACAAAGGGAAGCCCATCAGATTAACAGTAGATCTCTCAGTAGAAATCCTACAAGCCAGAAGAGAGTGGGAACCAATATTGAACATTTTTAAGGAAAAGAATTTCAATCCAGAATGTCATATCCAGCCAAACTAAGCTTCATAAGTGAAGAAGAAATAAAATCCTTTTCAGACAAGCCAATGCTGTGGGACTTTGTCACTACCAGGCTAGCCTTGCAAGAGCTCCTGAAGGAAACACTAAATATAGAAAGGAAAAACTGGTACCAGCCACCACAAAAACATACTAAAATACAAAGACCAATGATAGAAACTGCATCCAGTAGTGTGTACAATAACCAGCCAACATCACGATGACAGGATCAGATTCACACATAACAATATTAACCTTAAATATAAATGGGCTAAATGCCCAAATTAAAAGACACAGACTAGCAAATTGGACAGAGTCAAGATCCTTTGGTGTGCTGTATTTAGGGACCCATCTAACATGCAAAGACACACATAGGCTAAAAATAAAGGGGTGGAAGAAAATTTACCAAGCAAACACAAAGCAGAAAAAAGCAGGGGTTGCAATCCTAGTTTCTGACAAAACAGACTGTAAACCAACAATGATCAAAAAAGACAAAAAAGGGCATTACATAATGCTAAAAGGATTACTCCAACAAGAGCTAACCATCCTAAATGTATATGCACCCAGTACTGGGAGCACCCAGATTCATGTAGAAAGTTCTTAGAGACCTACAAAGAGACTTCGACTCCCACAAAGTAATAGTGGAAGAGTTTAACACCCAACTGTCAATATTAGATCATCAAGACAGAAAATTAATGAGGATATTCAGGACGAACTCAGCTCTGGATCAAGTGGACATGATAGATATCTACAGAACTCTCCACCCCAAAACAACAGAATATACATTCTGCTCAGTGCCACATGACAATCACTCTAAATTGATCACATAATTGGAAGTAAAGCACTCCTCAGCAAATGCAAAAGAACTGAAATTATAACAGTCTCACAGACTGTTCTAATCAAATTAGAACTCAGGATTAAAAACTCACTCAAAATCATAAAACTAGATGGAAATTGAACAACCTTCTCCTAAATGACTCCTGGGTAAACAACGACATAAAGGCAGAAATCAAGCAGGTTTTTGAAACCAATGAGAACAAAAACACAAAGTACCAGAATTTCTAGGACACAGCTAAAGCAGTGTTAAGAGAAAGATCTCAGATTGATACCTTAACATCACAATTAAAAGAGCTAGAGAAGCAAAAGCAAATAAATCCAAAAGCTAGAAGATTACAAGAAATAATTGAGATTAGAGCAGAACTGAAGAAGACAAAGACATGAAAATTCCTTCAGAAAGTCAATGAATTTAGGAGCTACTGTTTTTGGAAGAAAAAGAACTAACAATATAGATAGACTGCTAGTTAGACTAATAAAGGAAAATGAATCAAATAGACACAATAAAAAATGATAAAGGGGATATCACTACTGACCCCACAGAAATACAAACTACCATCAGAGAATACAATAAACACCTAAATGCAAAGAAACTAGAAAATCTAGAGGAGACGGATAAATTACTGGATACATCCACCCTCTTAAGACTACAAAATTAAGAAGTTAAATCCTTGAATAGACCAATAACAAGTTCTGAAATAGAGGCAGTAATAAGTAGCCTACTAACCAAAAAACTCCCAGGACCAGAACAAATTCTATGAGAATTCTACCAGAGGAGCTAGTACTATTCCTTCTAAAACTATTTTAAACAATTGAAAAAGTGGAACTCCTCCCTAACTCATTCTATGAGGCCAGCATCATCCTGATACCAAAACCTGGCAGAGATACAACAACAACAAAAAAAAAAAGAACCTTCGGGCCAATATCCCTGATGATCATTGATACAAAAATCCTCAGTAAAATACTGGCAAACTGAACCCAGCAGCACATCAAAATACTTATCCACCATGATCAAGTTGGGTTCATCCCTGGGATGCAAGGCTGGTTCAACATATGCAAATGAATAAATGTAATCCATCACATAAACAGAACCAATGGCGACAACTACATGATTGTCTCAATAGATGCAGAAAAGGCCTTTGATAAAATTCAACATTTTTTCATGTTTAAAACTCTCAATAAACTAGGTACTGATGGAACATACCTCAAAATAACAAAAAAGCTACTTATGACAAATCCATAGCCAATATCATACCAAATGGGCAAAAGCTGGAAGCATTCCCTTTGAAAACAGGCACAAGACAAGGATGCCCTCCCTCACCACTGGTGGTTTGCTGCACCTATCATTCCATCTCCTAGGTGTTAAGCCCCACATGCAGTACTTATTTGTCCTAATGCTCTCTTTCCACCCACCCCCTGTCAGTCCCTTGTCATGTTGTTCCTCTACCTGTGTCCATGTATTCTCATTGTTCAGCTACCACTTATTAGTGAGAAAATGTGGTATTTGATTTTCTGTTCTTTTGCTGTGTGGATGATTTTTAGTTTAATTAAGTTCCAAACATTTATCTTTGCTTTGTTGCATTTGCTTTTTGGTTGTTGGTCATTAAGTTTTTTGGTTTTCTGTTCCTGTGTTAGTTTGCTGAGGATGATGGCTTCCAGTTTCATGCATGTCCCTGCAAAAGACATGATCTCATTCCTTTTTATGTTTACATAGTATTCCATGGTGTATACATACCGCATTTTCTTTACCCAGTCTATCATTGATGGGTATTTGAATTGGTTCTCCACAGACTTACTGCCCAGGTGTCTTGTGGGTCTCTACTACCTGCATCCCAACACAGTGCTCTTCAGCCATGTTAGCTGTGGCTCAAGCAACCACAACTGTGGCTCAACCTGCAACTCTGAAAAGTTTAAGAGGCAAATCTTGGGACCATTCATGTGGTATTAAAGTCTACAGGCTGACAGAATGTAAAAGCTGTTGGGGGCATTGCTTTCCCCTCCTAAATATCAAAGGAGGTTGAAGGCAGCCTGGTGTCCAGGCAGAGACTAGTCACAGGGACAGAGCCACCTCAGAGGTTCCCCAATAGTGCAATGCTGAATGAATCTGCAGGAGCAGTACTGCCACCAAGATCCCAAAAGGGTAAAGCTACCACTGCAGCTCTACATAAGGGAGCTGAAGCATGGTGTGAGCTTGGCAAAGCCATGGGGACAGAGCTGCCAGAGGCTTTAGTGGTCCAACCCCTGCACCAGTGATCTTAGGACAGAGAGCCAAGGAGATTATTCTCCAGCTTTAAGACAACATTATTTTCTCTGTTGAGTTTTGAACTTATTTGGGGAGTGTTAATCCTTTCTTCTTGTATGTGTCTCCTATTTGTAATGGGAATGTCTGTCCAATGCCAGTCCCCCCTGGTGTATCTTGAAAATAGATAACTTGTTTAATTTCACATGCTGAGAGCAAGAAGAAATTCGACTCAAGGTGAATCATGCCATGAGTGCTAGAGGCTCTAGAGAGCATGGCTGTATTTTCTTAGAGGTGTCCTGGTGTGGAGGACCATGGATCTGCAGGCACCACCATCCTGATTCTTCTGACGTAGAAGCGACGCTAGAATGTGTCTATAGATTGTATTGCGAGCACCCGAACTTTCTAGTTTGTCCAGATTTAGATTTGATCAGTTTTCTTGTCCAATAAAAAAGCATTTTCAAAAAAAAAATCACACCTACATGTGATTTAGATGAAACTTTATTCTTTGGACTTTTGAGTTGCTACTGAAATGAGTTAGGACTTTTTAAACAATTGGGATGGAAGAAATGTATTTTTTATTGTGAGAAGGACACAAATTTGAGGGATCAGGGTCAGAATGCTATGGCTTGAATGTGGTTTTCAAAAGTTCATAAGTCAGTTAATCCTCAATGTAACTCAATCCTCAATGCAACAGTGTTGGGAGGTGAAGCCTACCGAGGTGATTGGGTCTTGAGAGAACTCCCCAACAGGGATTCATGTCATAATAGTGGAGGGGGGTTAGTTATTATGAGTGTGTGCCGTAAAGTGAGTCCAGCCTGGTCTCAGTCTCCTGAGCTAAGGAATTTGCCCACCTCGGCCTCCCAAAGTGCTAGGATTACAGGTGGGAGCCACTACACCCAGTCAAATAAATGTATTTTTTTCCTATCAATTACTTTTTTGTGTCCTCTGCCAATTTTTAAATAAGTTATATGTTCTTATTCTTATGCTGAAGAAACTAGCATTTTCAGTGTCACATATAATACAAAATTATTATTCCAATTTATCACTTGATTATTTTTTTAAAGTTTTTTAGTGTAAAAGTTTTCACTTTGCTTTTTTTCTTTTATAAATTTACTTTCTTTTATAATTTCTAAGTTTTGTGACTTCTATACTCTGATTCAAAAATTATGTCCTATGTGTTCTTCTATGGATAATTTTTATGTTTACATCTTTACTAGTCTGGAATTTAATTTACTAAAGATAAGAAATAATCTTCAATTGACTTCATTATTTCATCCAAAATGTTTTAAGAACCTACATTTTAAAAAACACCTTTTTCTCAATGATTGGAAGGAGAAATATGACTCCTAAAAATTAGACATTATTCTGGTTATTAAAAGATATTCTTTTTGTCATATTTTTTAAATTATCTAGGTATTTCTGTTATTCTTTTTAAATTAAGAAACTTTTATTTTTGACCAATTTTTTTTTTGTGTGTGTATGGAGAGAATCGTATATGTGTGTGTCTCTTCTTCCCATTAACATGGTGATTGATAAATATCAGCTACTAATAGAACCTTCCACTAGATGGACTATTCAGCCATGGCATCAACCCTATTTCACTGAGGAATATTAATGTGCTGCTAAATTCTGTTCATATTTTGCTTACTATACATTTTAACCCAAATCTATGATGAGTTTAGTGTGGAATTTTCTTTAATCTATTTTTAAATTTAATATTAATATATATCTTATTAAAAAGCTTTATTTCATAAATGAAGCTTGATTTATCTCTCAATGATCTAAAACTGTCTAATAGTTTTGGAGTTTTCTGCATGTTAAAGGTTTTATAGAATTTACCTGGAAACCATAAGAATTAGCTATTACATCAGCAATTCTCACACTTTGGTATACCTCAGCATCACTCAAAAGCCTTGGTAAATAGAGTTTCATTTTCAGGAAGTTGAGGGTAACACCCAAGAATTTGCAGTTTTTAACAAGCTGATCCTACTAGTCTTAGAACCACATATTAAGAACTATTGCCCTAGAATTTGTTGCAGTAACAACCCAAAATTATCAAAAACAGAGTTTTCTTTCTTCATCTTAATTCATATTGGCTATGTGTCAGCTAATAATCTCTGGAACTCTTCTATGTGTCTTCTCATCCTTGGATCCAAACTGCCGAATTTTCATAGTCTGGGAAAAGAAGAGCAATATTACTGTAAGGCTCTTGAAGCTTCTACCAAAAAAACCCATGTATTTCCCTTCTGTTTTGGTTTTATGGACTCATGCAAGTCATGTTGTCAAGCCTTATATTAATGGGATTGGAGAAGGAGGGAGAGAATTGGGGACAATAATTCAAACTACCACAAAAACCGTATGAGAGGTTAACTCTTTGAGAGTTTTTATGTAATGTGATGATTGATAGGTTTGAGATTTTCATGTCTTCTGTTCCTTCAGAAATAATCCATTTAATTCTCTAAATCAGTTTTGTTTGCACAAAATAGAGTGAAATGTTTTTTCATTTATTGAATCAGTTAAGCTCTATTTCAGATGCAAGAGAATGCAAGAGAGAGCACTGCAGATTAAAAGATTATAAACATACTCAAACAAGGTGATTTAAAAAATTATTTTCTTAGTTAAATAAAGTTCAAAGGAATGTAGTCTGAAGTTCATGTAGTGATTCTACAATTTTTTCATGGACCTGATTCCAGCACTTAATTCCGCCATTCTTTTGTGTGGCTCTTGTCCTCATGGACCAATATAGTGACTAAAGCTTTACTTTCTTTTCTGCACACCAGGCAGCAGGATGAAAAAAAGAATGGTTGGGGAACAGACACCCACCAGCTGCTTTTAAGAATAGCTCCTGATAGCAGCAACATGGCATTTCTGATGCCAGTTGTAAGGAAGACTGGACAATAAGACTTTGTGGGTAGTCATGTATCTAGCCAAAAGTTTTGGATTCTATTACTAAAGAAGGAAATAAAATATACTGAGCATAGCAAATATTGATCTTTCTTACATACTTCCAATTTCCCCAATATCAGAAGTTATTTTCTACTCTTGTTTAAAATTTCTTTTTAAGTTAGTAATTCTTGCAAAGAACTAAATTTGGCACTGTTCATTTGTTTTACTCTTGTTCTATTTTCTTTTCTTTTCTTGAGACCCAGCCTCTGTCACCCAGGCTGGAGCGCAGTGGCATGATCTCAGCTTGCTGCAACCACTGCCTCCTGGATTCAAACAATTCTCCTGCCACAGCCTCCCGAGTAGCTGGGATTACAGGCATGAGCCACTGTGCCTAGTCTTGTTCTATTTTCTAATTTATTTATTTCTGACTTTATTAATATTATTAATATTATTTTCTTCCTATAAGTGTTCCTTACCTTTAACTAGTTGAGAGTGCTTTCTATTTTTATGTTGTGTCTAGTTCATTAATTGTCATTCTTTTAAATTTAATAATATAAGAATTTGAGTTTATAATTTTTTCTCTGATCACTGAATTAACTAAATGCCACAGATATATAAATATTTAATAATCATTATTTCCCAGATAAGAAGAGTTTTTAATTAAAAACAAATGTGTATGTGTTTCTTAAATGTGATTTTTTAAATTTATAACCTAATACATCGTCTTTTTAAAAAATGTTACACAGGAACTGGAATGGCTTCATATTATCTCTTAGAGGGCAATATTATAAGTGTATCAATTGGAATCAATGTCTAACATGTTTTTTGTACGTTATGTATCCCTACATGTATCTTGCATATGCCTACTTATACATGTATTTTTTATATTCCTACTTATTTATGATGTGATTGGTTGCTTTCAATTACTTTACGTTTTTATTACTTTATTTATGAATTATACTAGTTCAATATTCTTCTTTATTTTATGTCTCATCGTATTTCCTTTTAATCTCCCTGTCATTTATTTATTCCAGATGGCATGTTTTCTTTTTCTTTTTGCTTCCAGAAGGCATGTTTTCTTTAGTTTCTTTTATTTCATGGAGAAGCATTTCTCTCCATTATTAACCTAAGCAATGGCATAATTCCGGTTGTATTCTGCTTTTCGAATCCTGTATTTTTGTTTCTCCTCCTGCAATATCTTAGCTGGAAGCCCAATCCTTTTTTAATGAGGAAAGTTCTTTCTGGAATAACCATTTTCAACATCAGGGTGTTGAATAAGGGTTGGGTGACTGAGCTGTGCAGGAAGCTAACCTGAGTAGCAGGCAGATTCAGTCTGTAGCCTTCAGAAATTTAGCACAACACTGTGCCCAAGATTATACATTTTTTTTTAACTAAAAAGAGCTATAGGACTGACAGCAAGGCTGCTTTTAAAACAAAAGTGTGCATTGAGTTTCCATGTATATATGTTTGGGCATCTTGATTTAGTCATTACTTATCCTTCTAGTGGATCAAGATCAGGAGCTTTGGGGCTGCTGGTCATCACTTTCTGTTTCTTCTAGCCACCTGTAGTGGTTCTTTGCTGTATGGCAAGTGTGTGCTACTCTTCTCAGCCCCAATTTACTGATCATTCTGTCTTGTCCACCAGGGTTTAGGGAGCCTCCTAATTCTATTCCTTGTTTCTAAACATTATTATTCTAAGCATATATTTATGGGTTTGTCTTCATAGGGTGTGCATCTGAATTTGGAAAACTATTCCTTCTGTAGAAAATCTATAGAGAGAGCTATTCACTCAGTGCTTTCTATATCTCGTTCAATTACTAATGCATTTTCTTCCTATATTGTTGTTTGGGGTTATAGGTGATTCCTACTTTCCTTAGAGATTAACATAATTACATTTTGTTTCTCGATATCTTATAATTGGGATTGGTTTCAGAGGAAAGGGTGATTGAATTACAGATAACTTTACCCAGTTATCTTAGACTGGAAGCCCTGAATATTCTTTTCCTAACTAGAAACAACTATACTGAAAGTAAAAATTAAGTATTTATGTTTCCCCGACAGTGGGCATATTATTCACTTAGATGTATATATATATAGACAGTAGATCATACAAAGGGACATGGTATGTTTGAGTTTGAAGGCAAATCTTGGTTTAATTTGGCAACAAAATAGCAAACAGTGCAACATGGAGAATAAACTTTTCTTCATGCAAGGAATTTCAGTACAATTGAAAATATGGGATATATTGTGTATTATATTTGAATACCTCCAAATATCATTACCAACTCAGCTATTCATATATAAAATCTCGTGGTCAAAATTTTATAGGTACTTAGTGCTTCAAATAAATTCAATTAATGATAAGCAATTAAACTAAATTTCTATTTCATTTAAATATATCTGAGTCTTTAGACAAGTCACCTGATTTTGCCTTAATAGTGATATTATTTTTATCATTTGTGATAGGTCTTGCCAGAGGTGAAAATAAATAAATATTTTTATCTGAGTATAGACAGACAATATACAAGCTTTGCCCCATTATCATTATTGAGAATTAAAGATTTAAAAGCCATGACTATATTACAGGTTATATCGCTCTATTTCTGAACTTAATATGACCTATATAGATGGATATATATAATAACGTAATTATGATGAACAGCATCATTACAAGTAAAGCTAATAGAAGTGCTGGCTATTTTTTCTTTAGCAACTATTTTCCCATTTTAAATGAAGAAAGATCTTGCTTTGACTAAATTATTAATGTTGTGATAATCTGTCATTAGAATCAATAACTGCTTTATTATGCATAGTGCATATAGTGCTAAAATGGACCCTCTCAAATAAATTTAGTGCCTTGTCACAATATAATATGATTTTACAATATTGCTAATGTGCACAAAGCATTCAAATATAAAATATCGGCATGTCGGAGATTTATGACAAATGTGAGGAGAAGATGAATCTAGGTTAAGCTTTCATGTCACTTGACTGAGGTCAAGAAAATCAATACTATTCGTAATGTATCTTTCACCCACAGTCATAAATGAAAAACCTTCTGCACATAAAAAGACTTTTAATTTATCTTTTAGTCTCAGTGGTAGAAATATTCTAAAATGGGTGTTAGAAGAAAAATTAAAATTAATTGGCAATAAGGAGAACAAATCATATCTTTGGCATGTGCAGTGACTCAAGAACAGGTAACTGAATATGTTTCTCTATTTTGATCTTTGCTTTTTCTCTGCAAATGTGTTTAATGTTTGTAAATTCTAAGAATTAACATGATGTAGGTGATAGTCACAATTCTCAACTTTAGCTTTTATGAATTTTATAACATTGTGAAATGGCCAGCAACTGCATTTCAATTTATTTCATTAACTGACTATTTCCTATTTCTTTTGATGCAACATGGTTTTTAATCATTAGACTCAATAACTGCTTACAGTGATATTAGTCATATACTGACCACAGTATTTGTGATCGATTTCTCTAATCCTTTTCATCTCTAACAATTATGGAAGAACCAATGTTGGTAGTGGTTTAGGCATGAAGAAGTTACCAGTACTGACCCATGATATTCAATGGGAGGTCTTTAAGGAGTTTCTGGAGAAGGACTTTTCTTTCCTAAAAATAAAATACAGAAAAAAATAACATTATTTTACTAGGTGATTTAGGGAACTGCTGCAGTCATCGCTGCAGCCTGGAGGGAAGTCAGCCAAGCTGAGATGCAGAGCTGAGAAATGAAAAATCTGATTCCTTCATGAAATTGTTTTCAGATAAGCCTGGAGATCATTTTACCTTTGAATACATTTTATTTAAGATAAATATGCTTATTTCAAGCCAGCTTGAAATGCAGTTCTATGTTGCAGCCAAAAAGTATCCTTACTGATGCTATCCATCATCATTAGAAATTAATTGAAGATTAATTATTTTTCATATTTTCATATTCTTCCTTGATGTGAAGAGACCACAGTGTGTAACTGCCTTATCAATAAAGATTAAAATGGCTAATGAGCCTGATCACAAATAACTGAATCTGTTGTAGCTCAGATGAATGATAGTAGTCTTGATATATGGATTCTACTTATAGTTAACTGTTTCTATTAAGACTGTTTTTAATCTCTGAAAGGTTTTCATATATTCAGATAATTTTAAATAATTCTTTCTCTTAACTGCTTTGTTTTGGCAATAATAGTTCTATTTAAGTATGTGCTTTTAACTAAAATTTACTAAGTGCATAGTGAGTGGGAAAGGTAGACACATACAATTATGGCTTACAGTGAGAGAGATTATGCTCAAAATATTCTGGAAACATGAAAGACATACTACCTCATCAGCTCTGGAGGAAGAGGAAATACAAGAGACGGTTTTCCGGAAGAAGTGATGACTAAGCTGAATGTTGAACAATTATTAGAGCTAGCCAAATATAAGGAAAAGGTAATGTGAGGATATAGGCCAAAAGAACAATAAAAATAGGCATATATGTTACAATTATGAGTCTAGGGAGTGGGACAAGAAGTGACAATAGAAGAGGCTGAAGGTAACAGCACAATATCATGGTTAAGAACAAGGACTTTGGTGTCACAGGGTTCTGAAGGGTTCTGTGTTTCAATTACTCCTTGAATTAATAGTTAGCAGGTTCCAATTATGTCTCTGGCTCTGTGTTAGACAATAGTGCGCTAACAGCAATCTTTGTTTTCACGTAGCATACATTCTAAAGGACAAGAGTGACAAAAAAAACAGATGTGTAAAAAATAAGTTGTAATGGGACTTACAAAGGAAAGAAAGGGCTGAGATATAAATGAACTGTAAATACCTATTTTAGATAGGGCGATCAGAGTGGACCTCTCTGAGAAAGTGAGGCTGAATGTAATTGTTGACAAAAACCCAGCTTTGAAAGGTGTCAGGAAAAAAGCTTTGCAGCCTCCTCCCCTCAGAATACCCACCCAGTCATAACCACTTGTTCTACCACAAAATTATTAAATAAAATTATATTCTAATTATTTATAATAATTGTTTTCTTGCTGTTTAAAATAATTGCATCACCCAAGCATGCACTCCTAAACATTATAGTTTAACTTTGTCCATTTCTTCTTATTTATGTAACTTTGAAATTTCTTTTAATGTGTAGTCTTGCTCTGAATTCATTGCTTTTTCTTGCAACTTAGCTCTTGAAGAATCTTGATAATTTAATATGTAAAGTTATCCACCAAATGAGAAAAAGAAATAATCAGTCTCCTAAAAGAAATTAATTAGTCCTTTAAGATAGCTCTTTGTACATACGACTCATTTGCTTTTATGTCCTTTTAGAAAGTTTAAAAGTAATATATTTAGAGGGTCTACTCCTAGTTTCCAAAAGGAGAGACCTCTCAGTACACTCCATTTTTAAGCGTGAAATGACTTATCATTCATTTATTCATTGGTGAAGTGGGGGATAAAAACCTGGCATGGTGGGCTCAGCTTTCCTCCTTCCTCTTGACAATAATTTGTCAGAGCAAGTGTAAATTTTGCTTTTTCTGGCAATGGGCTATGGGTGTGGAGTGGGGGGTGCCAGGGGTGCCTACCCCATTTTGTACAGCTGATCAATTCTGAGGGGCAGTGCTCTTAATCCTAGGTGGCTAACTTGAAGCCACCTCCTTCACTTGAGCCTCTCCCCATGATAGAAGTATCTTAATTCAATGTGGTACTCGTTTGCTTCATTCATTTTTGAATTGTTCAAATTTCTGTAGGTATATAGTGGTACTGAGAGCTCAACAAGCACACATTCACTTTATTTCATGGTTTACTTTATAAGTATTGTTTCAGTAATAAGCACATTGCTGACTAATTTACTTGAAATGCAGACTTTTTGATTCATTTGATATTTAAAATATATTGGTGTAGTATACTAGTCTTTAAAATAATCCTTTTCATAAAATTATTTATCTTAACACATAAGCATATTTCATAACTTCAGTTTCCTTTTATCAGATTTACTTCCTGAAATTGCCACAGAGATTTTTTACAAATACAGACTCAAATATTGAGAAATGAACTTTTAAATGAGCTTGAATTCAGGAAACCAGCATTGAATATGTGGTTTGAGTAAGAATTCCACAGGATGATGGAAACTTGAATGTAGAAACAATATAGGGATACAGTACACCATTTGGATACAGTATATCCAGCACCCTACCCTTCTAATTACATGAAGAACTCCACTATGAGGTGGCTATTACAGTTCAATGTTGCAGTGTAATAAATGGAAAAATGTGGTCATTGTTAGTTCTATTGTGTTTCCAAAGCTATGGTTACACAATGAGACTTTACCCAAAACGTTTCATACATACTAAAATATGCTGAACTTTAACCAGAAAAATCTTCATAATCTTATAAAATAAATTGTATATTTAGCTTCATAAATGGCTATTTTCCTGCATTTTTTTCATTTAGCATTTTTAGATATTTATTTAGAGTTGTATTTCTTAGACTTTTATCTTTTATTCTCATATAATTAAATACATTTAAATTAAATACATTTAATTATATGAGAATAAAAAGATAAAAGTGTTTTAAACTGTAGATTATATATAATGTCTCATGTTACAACTTACCTTATATAACTATGATAAAGATTGTAACTCATAAATGTATATTGGTAAGAAAAAATTATTTTAGTTTTAACTGCACTTATTGAAAAATCTATGTTTCATAGTTACAATGTAATCCCCTTGCTGATCATTACAATTTAGAAAGTTCAAGTCTAACTCCATAGATCATTACTTCTGCCAAAAGTGCTTTGGTAAATCTTTGCTCTTTTGACCTGAATATCTACAGTTAATCTTTGGAAGCCTTTAGCAGCCTTAGAGGTTAAAAGCCTAATATCTCATGTTCAGTTATAGATCTACTTCTATTTAACAAAACTTGTGGTGGTTTTCTGTTTTTGCTTTTGTTTTGAGACACCCAGGCTGGAGTGCAGTGGTGTGATCTCAGCTCACTGCAACCTCTGCCTCCTGTGTTCAAGTGATTCTTCTGCCTCAGCTTCCCAAGTAACTGGGATTACAGGCACTTACAACAATGCCCGGCTAATTTCTATATTTTTAGTAGAGATGGGGTTTCACCATATTGGCCAGGCTGGTCTTGAACTCCTTACATCAAGTGATCTGCACATCTCTGCAAAGTGCTGGGATTACAGGCATGAGCCACTGCACCTGGCCCAAACTTGTGTTTTTAATGAAAAAAGGGGGTCTTCTCTTTGTCAGCATCATAGTTAACATCTCAATAGTTAAGACAGGTAATAGTATAAATGGTATATCTTAATCCAAGACAAAAAGGCCTTATGGATTTCTTCTATATGGTTATTACTAGACAGAATGAGAAACAGGCAAATGTAAATGTATTTGTGATTGTTCAGTGACAACAGCATTAGAAAGATGAGTTTAAAAAGCTTAATTCATTGTAATTCTATTTTTAGATGAGATGTCAGTAAATAACAGAAATAATATGTCAAACGGCTTTAAAACTGTCCCTAGATTAGACAAAACGAATAGTTTGTATGGCATCCAGATTGCCAAGTATAATTGATTTGGATTCTTAGACTGCTGGGGACAATTTTTTAACCAGTTGAATTGGATGCATTTATACCTCAGTATAAAAATATAAATTGATTCTTTTGAAATATCATCTGGAAAACAACAAAGATAAAAGGTAAATACATACACACACACACACATAACACATATATAATATATACATATACACATATACATACATATAATAAATACATACATATATATGAAATTGGATTTTGAAAAAAAATTATAAATATAGTTTTTATACATTTCTGATGTCAACATGATGTTGCATTTCAATCTTTTCCTTCCACTAGTAAGAATGAAGTTTGCAATAAACAAATTCATGATTATACTGGATTGTAAATAATCCTCTCAATAATTGGTGAACACGTAAACAGAAAATCAGTAAAGATGAGAAGGCACACAATTAACCAACTCGACCTCATGGACATTACAAAAAACTCTTTCCAGTGACAGCAGAATAGACATTCTATTCAAATGCATCATAACATTTACCAGGATAGATGATATTGTGGAGCCCAAAGCAAGTCCTAATAAATTTAAAAGAAATAATGTCATACAGTCTATGTTCTTCAAATTCAATGAAGTTAAATTAGAAACCAATAGCATAAAGATCTCTGGAAAATTTCCAAATATTTGGAAATACAATATAGGTTAGGCATCCCTAATTTGAAAATTCAAAATCTGAAATGCTCAAAAATCTGAAACTTTTTTTTAATGCTGATATGACACAAGTGAGAAATTTCACACCTGTCCTCATGTGACTGGTCACAGCCAACACTTTGTTTCATGCACAAAGTTATTGACAATACTGTATAATATTACACCCAGGCTGTGTGTATAAGGTATATATGAAACATAAATGAATTTTGAGTTTAGACTTGGGTCCCATTCCTAAGATATCTCATTATGTATAAGCAAATACAGTCATGTGTTGTCCAGTGATATGTTGGTCAATGGTGGACCACATGTGTGTATAACAATGGACTGATGAAATTACAATATGTTTTTTTACTGTATCTTATCTACAGATACACAAATCCCATTGTG